TTTAACTTTAATTACTTAGTTATAATTTATAACTTATTACTAATATAATACCTAACTACTTAAATTAACTGCCCTAGTAGTTCTGCTAACATAAACTACAACTAGTTTATCCCTTAGGAACCTTAGCCGTTACACACCTGGCCTAGCAAACCCTTAAACGGCTGTTTTTACAACTCAGTAAACTACCTGTAAAGCGCTAGGTAGATAAAATCTTACCGGCGTGAGGGTTTGCGCGGATGAGGCGGAAGCGAGTCCGACAACAGAGACTAGAAACAGCTTCATAATAAAGATACTAGATAATAGATCAGGTTATAAAATAGATTAAGCGAGGTGAGTTTAACAGAGAGATAGAAGGGATTTCTCAGTGAAAAGCGTGGATGAACCATGCCTTTTATATGCTGTTTAGCAGGGTACAATTGATTATATATATACATGGTGTAATTACCTTCCCCTATTACCCCGATCACATCCTGGTCTGCGCAGGCATTAAAACAATTCGATTACTACGTGGGCCGGGTTTTTAGGCGCCGCATAAGTACCCTCGCTTAATACCTGAGTCGTAACGGTTTAAGAGCACGAATAGGATCTAGTGCGACTTGAATAAAACGATTATTTACAAGTAGAGTAAGAGCTCCGAAGAAAGCTTTGGCTCGAGCCAAGTTTTAAAGTGGAGGCGTTTTCTAACAGTCGTAATAATAACGCCAAGGCAGAGAGAGTGGAGGTAAGCATATTAAATAACGTACGACTAGTATATAGTGCATTAAATCAGGGAATTGCTATGCCGGCATGAACTGTACACCGGTATAACTTTTACCTCCCTTGATAAGCTTAAACTTTTTCTGTTAACCCGCCTTAGATTCTGCTACCTCTACCTAAAGTAGCTAATTTATTCGCATACTATTATATATATAGCCCTAAATCTAGCTTATAATACATTTATTTAGTATTCTCTAGAGAAGCTTAAAATAAACAAGCAGCTCTACGATTCATGGCCACGTTCAGATTAGAGGAGTTCATGCTTTCCTCTTCTACGAAGGTAATTCTCGCCTAATACTAGTAGCGCCTTCCGCTACGCCTGATCTCACAAATAGTAGGAGACAAATTGCGGCCGCGATTATGAATATTAGGCTTGTAACAGACCAGGCTGTAAGTGATTCAGGAGATGTCAAGGAAGCTGGCTACACTGCCTTTGTTGAGAAGTACCTAAAATTTAAGCCAATTACAAGTGGTAAAAGTCATGCCAGTATAATGTTCATGCCGGGGCAAGGTTTATGCCCTTGTAGCAATTCCCCTAAATCGCGAATATCACTTTGATATGCCGCAACTTTATATAGTGGGTCGCAGTTGCCAAAAAAGGAAAAGAATTACTCCTTGTAACGGCAGCGCCAAGTATAAGGCCGGAGCGCCTATGTATAAAATAAATATAAGGCCCAGCTTTAGATGCCTATACGAGAGGCCAAGCCTCGCGCCCTCGCATAAAATAAATACAAGGCGCAGCTTTGCCTGCCTGTACGAGAGACCAAGCCTCGCGCCCGCTCTAGAACCGACTACGGCTGCATATTATTCTTATACTCTATACTGTCTAACGGACTGACCTGAGAGATGGACGCGAGCAGCAGCAGCCGCTGCGGAGCGGGATTTTGCTAAAACTTTGGTCATTTCTAAACTAAAGATGGAAGAAACATATTTCCTGGGTGTTAGCTTAATTAGACTTGAACTGGTGGTGCTGATTGACACGGAACCTGGAAAAGTTGGATACACATGATGCGGGTATTGTCACCCCAGCACCTCTCCAAGGGAGAGAGGCAGCCTAGGCTCCCAGCGCAGCGCAGCGCTCCCGCTGGAGCGGACGCGCGGACGTCGTTCCAGAATATACGTCCGGGCGTCGCAAAATCCTATTTGTGGGTCCATGTCGCCCTGTAGCACTATCCGTGGTACGAGCTGCTCATTTTCGGTCCAGTTGGCCAGCTTCTGTCTTCTGAGCCTGCAGCCGGATGCCCTTTGAGGAGCTTTGCTTGAAAAAGCATTGCAGACAGCCGATGACATTCTGTTAGAGTCTTAATCGTCAACTATCATTATTCAATACCCGAATGCCCTTATCCTGATTCAGTACAATTTGGAAACAAGATGCCGAGCGACGACATAGAAGACGAGTATTACCAAGATGATCAGCTAGCGAACTAAGTGATTGCACGGGAACCGGCACAACGAACTGCAGCGATGGAAACGGAGCTGCGACGCTCCTTGCAGGCGGTTTGGGCGGAGGGCGTCGATCATGGCGACGAACGGGGTAATAATCAGTTCTAGAACAAGGAACAACAGCAAGTTATGATTATTAACTTTAACTAATCTACTCTCTTTTTAAGCCTAGGAACAAGGCACTGCTTAAAGTGTCCAGGAAGAAGAGGAACCACAACAAAGACAGCTCCAAAAGCAGCAAGAGGCGTCTTTTCCTACAGAATTCGGCCCAGACAGTATCCCTGGTGCGCAGAAACTGTCTCCAACACTGAGTTAACTATTAGATTAGCAAATAAAGTATGGCGCCTAGAGGTGCTCGCGGAGGCTAAAAGTTGGAGAATACGCAACAAGAGACCACCGGCGACGTCGCTCTGGAGGTAAATGGTGAAGTTCCCAGTGGAGATCCGGATAGATCTGTATTTTCTCTTTATAAACAAAAAAAAAACCGAGAATCTTACTTTTTACTAGCATATTTGGCTGTCCCGGTATTTTGGGGCTGTCTCGCAATTTTGGGCCAGGCTAAATGGCTTGCCCACTTAATGTATCAAATGCCCATATCACCGCTAGTCTGATGACAACGTAAGCTCTTATCATAAGTGTAAGCAAAGCGGCAAGCCGGGGGCTTCAAAATTTATTAATAGGGCTGTCGTATGTTATTATATGTATTCGATAGCCGTGATAATAACGGCATAGGCAGAGCATGAGCAGGTCTTGCCTGCCTAGATTTTAGAGGAGAAGGTGATGAAAAGGGTCAAGCAAGGAAGATTTCATGAATGCAGAAGAAGGGTGTTGAAAAGCCATGTGACATGGATCTACCCGACAACTACGCAACTGGCGCCCAGGTACATCGGTAGCCTACGAGGACACCAACCGGGTCTCAAACCGTCAATCGGTACAGCCAGATGCAAAGCCGTCTCGAAGCCGCAAGTTATAAACCGCCGCCTCACCACATATTTCCCGCTCTGGTAAAATCGCCCGCCCCCTGCCCCTCGCTGAGTCGAACATCGCGCGGGTCCCCGCTTGACGGACGAGATGCCAGCCATTCCCGGGAGGAACTATGATGGGTGCCGGACATGGAAGAAGAAAGGCAGTATTTCAATACGAACCTCTGTCTACATGTGTTGTAACTTGACCCCCATCTCGCTTTTCGGGCGTGGTAGGTCGCGTATTTGGAGATGAAACTCCCGCGTCGCACTAGACATCACAAGAAATCCGCGAACACCAGTAGCAAATAAAAATGTCCCAGTGAGACCAAGCCCAGCCGTCCTGCTCACCCTGTACACGCCTCAAGATCCGCTGTGGAGGCTCGGGCATGCAATGGTGCCTTCTCGGCGACCATGGTTCTTTTGCTCGGCGTGCGATTGACCACTCTTTGCTCGGTGCGCGACCGCCCCACCTTTTCAACCACATCCTTTACATCAGTATGTATGGCAGCAACAGTGGAAATTACAAAACGTCGCCTAAACACTTTCCAAGAGGCAACAGCATTGTCAATTTTTCCTTCTTTTGCAACACAACAACGCTATCGCGATGGATGAAGAAAGCCCTCAAAGCCCTCAAAGCCCTCAAAATCCGCCACCCAATATACCGCCATCAGAAGGTTATAGCTCTTTTAATGAGCTGTACGATGCTGTACTAGCTTTTGGCCGCAATAACGGCGTTGGCTTCACAAAGAGATCCATGAGCAAAATGATCGAAATAGACGGCACGAAGCAGCCAACCTGGGGCTACCTTGATTGTGACCGCGGCTACAAAAGACCTTCTACAGCGACTGGAATTCGAAAGTCTCGCACAAGAAAGACCGACTGCAAATATCGGCTTAAAATAACGGCTTCTCGTGATGACGATAATCAGTATAAATGGCATTACAGGGAATTAAATTCACATAATCACGAGAAGTCAAGTAACCCCTCGGCACACATAAGCTATCGAAGGTTTACTGAACCGCAGAAGAAGCAAATTGCACGCCTTTCAGAGCATGCCAGCATCCAAGCCCGAGTCGTTAGTACAATAATCCGCGATGGCGCTAACGAAGAGCTATATTTCCTACCAAAAGATATTTACAATCAACGTCAAAAAGCCCGCCGAGCAAAATTAGATGGCTAAACATCGTCAGGACGGGGAGGATCACAGTGTCCATGCTGACCGAGTACGGGGTTGCGCTGAAGGCTTTGAGGTAGTTGTTTGCCGATAGACCGGGGCAGGTGTTGACAGTGGAAACGTTGTTTGCCATCTATCTCATCATGATTTGCCAGGTTTGTGTTTGCTTTATAACCCCGATTTGATGCGGGTTAGTTTATATGTTCTGTACTGCCCGGCATGGTTCTGTAACTCTTCATTGGGACTCTCATATTTGTGAATTGGTTGCTAATGGAGAGGGTGAAGAACTGGATGGGTGGCAGCAGAGAAGAGTTATCGGTGCATGTCCACGGCTTGGTGCATATTCTCAACTTGAAGCCGCTCGAGACTGGGACGACGGCTTCAGCAGGCAGATTATGGGAATCACATCCCTCCTTGCTTTAAGCGGCTGCTTCATTTCTTTGCCATGTCCAACTTGGCCCCCTCATCTGCTTCCTCTCTCCTAATCATCTCGACAACAAGCGTTCCCAATCACAAAAAAAAAGGGGGGGAAATTATACAAACGGTGTCTCATCAAAACCTGGGTCTCTGAGGTCGTCACAAACCACAACTCCCAATTCAAACCGCAATTCATAGCGTCCCGAAAAGCCGGCCCTGCGCCAGCTCACCCCCGGCAAACCAACATGTCGGACCCGGAGACCATCAAGCTCGAGTATCTGCTCAGCTACCCCGAATACCTCAACAAGCCAGAGCTACACCTGGACAAGATCCGCCGACGCTACGACCAGGCCAGGCTCGAATGTCAACCTCTTCGGCAGCATGATCGCTGGCGCGCAAGCTGCCGCCCCCGGGTCGTCGTCGGCGCCAAAGGCGACCCCAGCATCCTTCGTAAGGATGTATATCCTGTGCGAGTCTAGCGCGGCAACACTCATGTCCATCGCCATGATGCTCAACCAGATCCTGCGCATCTTCAACCCGCATGACCTGCTGCTCGAGTAGGACGTGGCCTTCTTCACTACGCAAGTCATGAACGTTGCCGAGCGGGTCAAGGACCTACGGCTGCTGGGGTGCGCGTTTGTCCCGCCGTCTCTGTGCATGGGCTGAGTCACCACGCCGGGCGAGGACGTGAAGGCCCGGCTGGGGACGTGGATGGAGTTTTACCGGGCGGATCTCCGGGGGACCAAGAGCACGGATTTCACCGGCTGGCTGGAGCACCGATTTGGGAGGATGAAGGCGCGGGCGGCGGAGCGAGAGAGCAGGATAGGGGCGAGTGACGCCGAGGGTAGCGGCATTGTGTCTTCGAGGGGGCACAAGGAGGAGGAAGTATTTGAGATTACGGGGACAAGGCCCTGCTGCGTGATGTGATGATGTGCAGAGGCCCTATGATGACGATGGCGATGTGTGAGGGATGCCCATGTGCCATCTAGATGTGTATCTTGCCCGGATTTATGGTTTGGTGTTGCTGAGAAGGCTTCAGAAGGCCTCTTGGTAGGCTGTTCAAGGCCACCGCTCTTCTCCTTTGCCGTAGACTACACGTTCGTGATCATTTCATGTCGCTGGGTACAACGTCACATGTCTGCACACACGTGCTCCGTGTCCAGCATGAAGTATAAGCTAGCTAGTTGCTGGGCCGGGGAAAAAAAAGATACTACTTCTTAAAAGCTGTGGCTCTGCTCTCATTCAACCCGCACCGTCGACATCCCAAATGCTACATGACCCCTTTTACTTGATGAACTGGGAGGCCAGCCCGGCCAATCCACCCTTCGACTGGGCCTGGCTCTTGAAGTACATCTTCATAGCCATCTCAGCCGCCTGCTGGACGACATTCTCCTTGCTAGCTCCGTCCGCAACCTTTCCCTGCGAAGCCTTGGAATCGAAGAGCTACAAGACGAATTAGTTCCATATGAAGAGACAACCCCTGATTCTGGGCCGATTTGCGCTTCTTCTGCAACAAAAGAGGCGCCACGACGCACCTTGCTAGCCTCGGACATGGCCATGCCCAAAAAGGCAGCCTGGCCCGACCCCGAGCTGGCGTTGTTGTCGGACTGGGTGAACTTCTTGAGGGCCTGCATGGCGGCCGCGGTCCCGAGCGAGCTGGAGTCGCCTTTGCCGTCGTTGTTGTAGGCGTGCTGGTGCTGCTTGATGGCATCTGTTTGACACGTGCGCTGTCAGCTGTGACGGGCCACTGAGAACAAAAAAGGTTGAGGAATCAGGATTGCAGGGCCCACCTTGCTCGTCAATGTCCTCGTTTTGAATCTTTTGCTGCTTGTTCCCGACGGCGCTCATAATGTTGGAGAAGAGGTCGCTGTTGCCAGAGTTGCCGGCGTTGCTGGACGCGTGCTGCTGGGCCATCCTGAGGATGTCATCTTGGAAACCTCCGCCGCTGCCTCCGCCGCCGCCGCTGTTGTTGTTGTAGTTGTTGTTATTGTTGTTGTTGCCGCCGCCGCTGCCGCCCTGGTCTTGATGGCTGTTAGTCGCTCGGCCTGGGAGAGGTGCACCGCCACGGCTTGTACTAACTGTTGGACTGTCCTGTTGCAGAGGTTCGTGTTAGACCAAAGAGTCTTGCCTGACAAAAATCGTATCGGCACGCCGCGCTCTTCCTCGAAGCCTCGTCGAGTCATCGCCAGCTTGATGGAGCAGGGATACTTCCATGGTGGGGTAGCTTATCGCCAGGCAGGGGTCCACGAAGGAAAGAGGGGGGGAAAAACGGGAGGGGAGGGGGAACAGCTAATCCGTCAACGAGGGGTAAATAATTCCCCTTGATCTAGGCGCAATTCACAAGAATCTCGCACTCACCTTGGCTCTGCCCCTGGCCAGACAGCTGCTGCTGGAGCATGTCCTTCCCGACGCTGAGGAGCTTGTCCATGATGGATGACGATTAGATGTATCTTTGGACTAGCAGATACGGGGTTTCGAAGAGGCTGCTTGATGGAGATGGGAGATGAAAAGGAAGAGAAAGCAAGAAGCAGCCCGGAGTGAAACTAATAGTAAAAAGGGCAGGCCTAAACCATGACTCTTCGGCTGGCCCATTCGCCGGTCCGTCGTCAAGGCTGCCCGCTCTGGTAGTTGGCATCAAATCACGCCTCGTCATGGCAATGCCGAGAAGCGCTTCAGGAGCAGTGGCACGCTGAAGCAGGCGCAGAACTGCGGGGCAGGGCTCCACGGTACAGCTGGGCCGGGGATGATGAAGCTACCAGTTGACGACACTTGACACCAGACACTTGGGCAAACTCTAAATTCTACCTCTGCGAAGCTTCTGTGTCAAGAAAGCTCGGCAAGAGCTTCACATACGTCACGATATGAAAGCAGAACGCCGACCCTCGATACGTTGCATGCTGCGTCATTCATGTGTAGGGGAATTGCCTCCCAACTGATTTGCTCATTGAATTTGCTGTGAAAATTCCCTGCGCTACTCAAAGTATAAATCCCAAAATAAACAACCCAAAATAAGTCCCGAGAGCCCACGCTGTGTCCTGTGCCTCTTGATTTTTGTTACTCCGCCCAGGTATCATCATGCCCATCATACAACTTCAAAATGTAAGAATAAACACAGAAATGACGCATAAAAACCCCGCATGGCCAAGCCAAACTGCATACAAGATGCCCGAGGCCGTTCTGTACTGTCATCTAGTCCAGAACAAAAATGAGAAGAGAAAAGCAGTGCTCAAAAACGCTGTGGCCGCTTTTAACGTATCGTTGCCAACAAATTCGTACACATCTGGTGTCCCTGAAGAAATGTGATTTCCAAACGCCCAACATTTTCGTTTGGACGTCACGCTTCAACCGTCAATGGCCTCGAGTGCTTCCAACTGACGCCGCACCATGCTCAGATGTCGCCCCAAAGCAAGTTCTCCAGAAACCCTTGGTAGCAATGTTATCCCATCATTTGGTCCGCCACGGCTCCTTTTTGTGACGCATTGGTCTTCTTTTTTTCCTTCTTAGCCCATCGTAAGCCACAGGCATTGCAAAGCGTTTTCGGTCCGTTGGGCCCCTTTCGCCATTCCGGGGAGTCCAGAGTCCCTACAGCCACAGTTAGTAAGCACAAAAGAGCCACTGCGTTGACAACATAAAACGGGTCGAACGGGTATGCGGTTTCCTGTGGGCAGCCATACCGCAATCTGTGCAGACATATTCCTCCGCCGTCTTCAACTTCTTCTTCTTCTCGCCTGCTCTGGCATCTCGATCGATGGGGATCGCAATGCCGGCATCACCCCTGATGAGCGTTGGGCTGCTGCCACCCGTCGTGATTCCTCTACTGCGTTCCCCTTCAAGATAACGCAGCCCGGTTAACAGTTCTATCGTCTCCGCATGCGTACTTCCTTCGTAGCGCGCCATCTTATCGCCCAGAGAGTCCGAGTTTCGGCCTGCCGCAACACCTTCAAGATTTTCTCTTGTAAGTGCGGATCCGTCTGCTTGCATATCGCTTGTCGAACTAGCGTTGCGGAAAAACGGGGTGGATGTTCCTGTGGTCTCGGACGGTGTCATGTCAGACCGGCCTTCTTGACTCTGCACCCATTGACGGTTCGATTCCTCAGTTTCGGCTTCCTCTTCTCTCCGAAGCTCTGAAATGCGGCGTCGCAGCCGCTCGTTCTCCATCTTGTGCTCTAAAAATGAGTCAAGAAGCCCAGCGTTCTTGGTCGGGTACGTCCTGGACATCATAAAGACAGCTTGGCAGAAAGGCGATTGATTATTCGGGTTCGGCGCAAATCTTGCCGCCGCGATATGGGCGTGGCCGACAGTTTCCAGGACAGTATAGTTGCCAGACTTAGTCTTGAATCTGTAAAACATTCGCAGAGGACTACCAGAGGCGATGGATTCGTTCAGTTCCGCAACAAAAACTCCCTGGTCGTCTGGGTGGATGAAATCCTTCAAAAACACATCTTGAACCTCGGCGGCTGTATATCCCGAAATGCCAAAAATGCTACCGGACGCATACTTGATTCGGCCGTTGGCGTCGAGGATATGTAGAAAGTCCTTCAGCTCCTCCACCACCTTGGCCGGCCAATTTCTCCGTTTTGTAAAGTCGGTCAATGTGCTTGCACTTCCACTGCTACCGCCACCGTTGAGACTCATCTGGGCGAAAGTACGGGGCGGTAGAGGGCCAGCTCCGGGCACCTTCTCAACCGCCATGGCCAGCGGATCATCCTGTGGTTGAGCAACGTTCGAGGAAGAAGCTTGCGCGTCGGCATCGTTCATCATAGCGACGTCTTCGTTTGTATTGGCAGGCATTGAACTGGGTACGGGCATGACTTGTGCGCCGTTTCCCGAGTCAATGTTCATGGATACGTCGCCAAAGGGATCCATCATATCTGCGTCATCGAAGAAGGACATTAAATCATGATTAGATGGCCCGCCGGCGGGAAACTATGGTACAAGGGAGGGGTTTCTGTCAGCTCCCGGACTCGCCATGCAACGCAGGCCACGGCAAAGATATGGATGGAAACAGGAAGCAGGGACCAACCGGAGAGTTCTGTGGATTGTTCAAGTCGTTCAAGTTGAATGGCGAAAACCCATAGAAATTGCCAGAGGGTGGCGGAGGTGGAGGGGGGTCGTGGGACATGATTGTCTCGATGTGCTCTGCGGCTGCAATAGCTCCAGTACATGTAACTGCATCGGATCAGGGTTAGGGTTGGCGTCAAAGTTCAGTTCCGTGACGGGAACATAGCGAGCACTTGGGCAGTTCCGGAGCTTTGTGAGCCGGCTGAGGGGAGTGGTGCGCCCGAGATGAACTTGCACAGCGCGGGAGCGGATTGTAGAGGCTGATTGTAGCACTTGGAATGCTCAAATGCTGAGTTGAAGAGCAGAACCAGCCGACTGGTTGTCGGATATCGGCAGTTCTCCAGAGGTCGAAGCCGGCGCCAGACCGGTTCGATGCTGGCGGGAATCGTTACGCCGGCGAGCGGGAAGCAAACCGGTCGACGGTGGGAAGATGATGGAGTTAAACGAAGTCGTTGAGCGAACTAACGGGAGCAGGAAGAATAAGAAGAGCAAGAGAGCGATGCACGAATTCTTAGCGGCAGCGCGTGCTACTGTATAAGAATCCCATGGCGACAGAGCCTACGAGCTCCAAATGTCTGGTACACACTACGGAGTACCAAGTAATAAGTACTAACTTCTAGACAAATTACGGGGGAGCAGGCAGGGAGTGGGAGCTAATCAGAGAATTGGTACATGGCGACGGGTACCTCGTACAGGGGGGCTCCATTGGCAATGCATGCACGGGGTCCCCAAAGCTGGTTGGTACTTGAAGTTACTCCATTCTAAGTTGAGCAGTGCATACTGGAGTAAGTACTCCGTTATCATGTATTCCTTCAAGTACTTAGACCCAAAGCGGCCAGGCTACGGAGACGCAGAGCCACAGCGCCACCTGCCGGGCAAACCACTTGACCAGTTCGACGCCAGGCAGTCAGCAGCCAGTCAGGGTGGTGCTCAGGGTGGTGGTGAGTTGCGACTCAAACAGCTTCCTGATAAACAATTTCAATATTTGTAGTCCGGAACCTGCAAACCAGCTGACCCTGGTCTCTGCATCCGCCAGCCGGGCTCGCTAGCCCAACGCCTGGGCGGAGGGAGCTACCAGGTGCCTGCTGTCTTGTGCCAGGGACTCAGTTCTGCACCTCGCTCCAGCAAGTCACGACTGGCTCGGAGCAAAACGCCCGCAAAAAGCGGAGAGCTTTGCCGTAAAGCTCGCGCCGTGGCACTGTCGATCTCAGGTTGCTCGGGTCCATTCAAGACTACAATACTAGTTAGTACCAGACCAGACACGACTAACTACGCCGTACAGAACTGCCAAAAAAGTGGCCGGGTAGCCAAGCTTACTATTACTCCATTGGTCCAGCATGGCAGGGCAAAGGGGACTGGTTGGCAATTTGAATTTTATTTTACAAAAAAAAAGAAAAGAAAGGGAAAAGCAAGTCTTACTAGGGCCCAACAGGTTAGGGCCGGCGACGGCCAAATCTAATAAGAGGTTCGAGACTGGCACGGCAAATGACCACCACATGTGCATCCCCAAAACCTGTTTTGGTTGCAAGCTCATCAGGCGGCTGCTATCAACGAATGGAGCTATATTACGGCATTCCTTGTGTCAAAGGATCATTCGAGGCGAAATGAGGGCCGCAGGATTGGTTGCCACCCGAGGAATTGAGCCGAGGCGTGGAGCTTGGGAGCTTTGTCGTGCAAAGTAGACGCTGCGGGAGACGGAAAAGAAGAATGCGGGACTCTCTTTGAGAGGCGGACAGATTCCTAGCCATTGAAGGCTCTGGTCTTAAGAGGCCGAATCTGGGTAGCATTTGCGATGGAGTGGAACATGGGGAAAAGCGAAAAGTCCATGTTTCCAAGTTGGGGCAAGGGGGGAGCAGATCAGTCATTGTTACGGAGTATTAGCAGTCGCAATCTTCATTTTGCTTGCCCCTCGCTCCTGTTTCTTTTGCCACAGCTTCGTCAACTCAAATGTCAGGCGCTTTGCATTACGAAGTGTACAGCAACTACTCCGTACTCCATATCCACATTGCAAAATTTTGTCGCCAGAGTATCGTGGTACAGACGCCTACTTTGTACCATTCTACCGGCCTGTCCGGTTTCATCGAAATCCCTCGCTGGTCGCCCTCTCGTCCCAGTTCGACAGGTTGACATGTCATCAGTCAGATTTGTCTCTGTCGTCTCCAAAAGCAAATTGTGACTTTTCATCTTGTCTCTTTACCCCTCCTGAGCAGGGGCCAAGCTGCGGTTCCAAGGACGGCTTGGGTATTCCATGCCGCCGACACACTTGCATCCTGACAATGCTTAGCAACCATCAAGACCACGGAGCACTACCTGTTTGAGCTCCAGAAGCATCAATTTTCTGCAATATACCTCAAAATATACAGAACACGTCCACTTGAGGCTAGTCCAACACTGCAACGGCCTCACAAAGCACATTCGAACTTTGCTTCAACAGGCAGGGCTTGTCTCGCTGCTTGACTGCTGCTGGGAGCTTCAGCAGGGGTCCAACGGAACGGCCCAACCTACTGACTAGCCTGAACCAGTGCAAATATCGGCCTTGTAATTCTCCGATTTGCTCGGACCGTGGCGTCGATCAGTTGTCTGAAGACGAGTGAGACGCAGATTTGGACCCGTGCAAATGCACCTCTTGTCCTCCGTACCAATAGGGAGTACTACTAGTCCCAGCCATGGCTGCGCCACTATTCTGTGCTACGCACGATATGGGTTGACGGAGTACTGCGGAGTCCGGAGTACTTGAGAAGATAGTTACTGGTAGTACGGAGTACTCCGTAATCAATTTCGCACCGTGCATTCACACTAGTTATCATCTTCCCAATGATTGACGTGTCGAGCTCAAGTGATCAGTCTTCAGTTGTACGGAGCATTGAATGGTGGCTCGTGCCCACTATATCTGCGTGCGGAGTATCTGTATGTAGATTCTGTACTTCACATGTGGCGCATGCGTGGCGCATGCTACATTGATTAAAGGTCCAGATGTCCCTGCACGTGAAGACGCTCCCCTCATCGTCACCAAAGCCCGCAACCAAACGCGTGACCCGCTGCCTGGCGCGTCCCTCAACGTGCACATTTGCAACTCAATGCACAGCTCCGAACCAGTTTACGCGAACGAGAACTCCGAGCTTCGGCGCTCACTCAGCAGGCCATCTTGTCACGCCCAACCCTGAGCCAAAAACCGGATTTCAATTTTGGCCTTCAAATCAATGCATTGCACCGTTCAACATGTCGAGAATCGACAAACTCTCCATCTCTGGGGTCCGGTCCTTTAGTCCGTCGGTCCGGGAGGCCATCCAATTCAATACGCCCTTGACTTTGATTGTCGGATACAATGGATCTGGAAAGACAACCATTATCGAGTGTCTCAAGTATGCCACCACTGGAGAGCTGCCGCCAAACAGCAAAGGCGGTGCATTCATTCATGACCCCAAAGTAGGCTCTGGTCTCGATGAGTAGTGTCATCTTGTCATCATGCCACCTTCATCCTGGACTTTGCGCTAATGTTTCCTAGCTCTGTGGAGAGAAAGAGGTCATGGCCCAGGTCAAGTTACAATTTCGTTCCATCAACGACCGCCAGCATGTCGCTACCCGCAGCCTACAGCTGACGGTTAAGAAAACGACTCGTTCGCAGAAAACTCTTGACTGTTCTCTTGTCGTAGTGAACAATGGCGAGCGAACAACAACCTCCACAAGGCAGGCTCAGCTTGATGAAATGATCCCGGAGAGACTCGGCGTCTCACCCGCCATCCTTGATGCTGTCATCTTTTGTCACCAGGATGAGTCTTTGTGGCCACTTAGCGAACCTGCCGCACTGAAGAAGCGATTTGACGAAATATTCGAAGCCCTCAAGTATACCAAGGCCATTGACAACTTGAAGGTACTTCGCAAGAAGCATGTGGAGCAGTTGGGCAAGCTACAAAACGATGAAGCCCATAACAAGGCAAATAAAGACCGGGGTGAAAGAGCAGAAAAGCGAATGACCGGTTTGCAGGCCGAAATTGAGGATGCTAGGGAAAAGTGCGAGACTCTTTCGGCCGAGATGCAGGAAACCCAGGACAAGATTCGCCGCAAACATGAGCAAGCCAATAGTTTCCTTCAAATTGTTCAAAATCTTGGGAACAAGAAAGAACAACTGGAATACAGACAAGATGCCGTGAACGAGCTGAAACAGACGTTTGAAGAGCTTCATGAGGACGACGCATCGCTTGAGACTGCACTCGCCCAATACGAAAATAGCATGGAGCGATATCGAGAAGAAGCAGAGCAAAGCAAGTCTCAGTACAACGACTTGCAGCAAGAATTGGCCGATTCGCGCAAGAATTTGTCCACAAAGCTTTCCGAACAGGGTAAAAATCAGTCAGACAAGGATAAATATGAGCGACAAGTAAAAGCTCGCATGGAGATGGTGCAAGAAGCTGCAGTTACACACGGCTTTCGAGGCTACGATGGGGATTTGACAGAACAGCACGTCAAGTCTTTCAACGAAAAGATCCAGAAACTTCTGGCTGAGAAGAAGCGAGACCTTGAGCGTCTGCAGAAGGAAAATGCCACAGAATTGGACAAGGCAACCGGAGTGATTACAGAGTTGGAGGGTCGAAAAGCTGCCAGAACCCAGGACCGCGTGTCGGCAAAGCAACGTATCGGAGCCATTGAAAAGCGCACTAGTGTCCTGCAGAACGAGGCCAGTCTAATCGATGTTGACGAAGGTGCCAAGGCTATCTTGGATGGCCAGCTAGAAGATATTAGTGCACGTTTTAGCAGAGCACAAACTCAGATGGAACAGGCCAACTGGGACAAACAAATCTCTGACG